GGTTGAAAATGTTGAACACCTATTGATTTCTTAATTTAGATTATTTAAATTTTGTTGTAACATTACTTTTACATTAAATGCTTTATACCAGTAATCGTCGCTTATCTTAAATAACTTTTGAATCACAAGTTTAAAGTGATACTTATAATACACAGGATTATTTTTAAAGATTTCTTTATTCATATTTTAATAAATTAGGAGTTGATTACTTATCTTAAAATCGAAATATCTGTATTCAAAGAATTGTTACTGCATCTGACAACACTGGCTGGTCCATTAATCTATATTTCTCAAGGATACTGGACGATAGCAAGGGTTAAGGACACGCTCGTACCGTCCATCTGTCCTTTTAACTATGGACCCTCCCCGAGCGAGAGGCTGTATACGATTATGCAATCTTGACCACCAACTCCGTAAAACTGGATTGCCAAGAAGGCAAATGAGATCTAACCCTTTCTATTTAAACGTACTTGTTCTTTTCCCTCTATCGTAGATATTCCAAGGAATTTGAATTTCTTATCGAAGGGTTGTATGAATGAATATCTGTATAATAACGAAGTAACTAGTATGAGAATAGTTTTTTTTTCTTTGAATATGTAATCAATTTCTTATTAAAAATTCTGTGAGAAAGGCTTAAAGTATACTTTATTTTCGTAATGTTAGCTGATCTTAAGAATTCGTCAACAATAATACAAAGTATTTTGTAAAAGTGCTACCACTAATTTTGACGTTTTGAATAAGAGAATAGCTTCATTAAGCACTTCAAAATTAGTGATTTCAATTATACTTGATACTTATTTTTACGATCATTTACAATGTCTGAAAAATATAACTAAAATTAATAGAATATCCTAGTAACGGCTTGCGGTAGTCAGTTGTGTCCATAGAGCAAGTATAATAATTAGCTAACCACAGCTATTCATGACAGATGATTATCAAAGGCCAAAATGACATTTCTCTCAAATTTTGAAGTATAATTAGTGGAAATATTTAGAAGTTTTCTACTAAACTGATTACTACTTGCTTCACTGAGAACCTCGCAATTAGTTGAATAAATTAATTTGTAGAGTGATGAACCACCCCAAAAAATACCAAGGAGTGAAGAAGCAGAAATAACTACTATCGAGGAAAATAATATCACCTTTACTTACTACAGACGAGGAAAACCTAAATTTATCAGAAAATAATATGCCTCGTAATATGCCTGTATATGATGTACAGCCTTCTCTTAGATCAAAATAAATTTTAGTTGGGTCAATAGTATTCGCTATTGGTTTAAGAAAAGTGTCTCTTTAATCAAGAAATGTCCCTTTTCAATCAAGAATTTTTGCATGAATCAAAGAAAGTATTGTTCTGTAGCAAGAACTTTGCATATTAATTTTGGGTCAAGAGTGAAATACTTTGGACAGATAGATTCTTCTATTCTCTAAAGTAATTTTTTGAAGCTTATGAAAAGATAGTTAATGCTTTGGGCAAAGAAACGTCGTTCTTGGCCCTATTGAAAAGCGCCAATCTTTTGGGTCAAAGTCATATTCATTTCGACTGAGATATATAGTTTCTTTTTTTCAGTGTGAATGAAGCTTAATTGAAAATTTCTACCACTAATTTTAACGTTTTGAATGCTTAGATTGAAATTAGAGGAACAACCTTCAAACGCTAATTCAAACCACTAATTACGACGTTCTGAAGGAAGCTTAAATTGCTTAAATAAAACTAAATAACAACTATTTTTTAAAAAATATTAAAAAACATAATTGATACAACATATCAATTATGTTTTTTTCTTGATAGCTTATGAAACGAAACTAAATTTAATCTCTCAATTATTTTCGAATATTGGGTATTTAACGGTGAAATTTTTGGCAAAAATGCGTCGCCATGAAAACACGCGTTTTTTGACAAATGTCACTGTCGTATATCAAGCCGGATGTATTTTTAAATGCCAAAAAGATTTATGTGACGCTGAAAAAGTGAGATTTATCGTGATTGGAGTTCGAGTGAGATTAACATGAAGAACGGGCCTCAAATTGGTTTATAGAATGTGCGGAATTTAAGGTTTTTATTGCTCAAAAATATACATCGGTTAAAATACAATGTGAAGTTGGTAGGAGTCGAATTTTTTACTGTATTTTTATGTATTTTACATTATACCGAGTGGTGCATCGTTGTTGGAAATATACGAAATCCCATGCGAATTTTGTACTGTCCAAATATTGTCACCCTTGTGCTGAATACACATGGGAAATTTGAACAAGTCGGGGATACTAACTTCAGGTACTATAACATGTAGTAGTGTAGACCATAGATAAATGCAATAAGTTTAGATTGGAAAGCCCGTAAAAATTTTAGGTCGCGAAATTATTTTGGGTCGCGACCGTTATATGAGATCTGGCGCTGCTACAGCGGTCGCTAAGAACAACGGCAAACAAAAACAGAAGTAATTTTCTCTTGTCAAAGTCAGAATCTTCAAAAATCATAATAATCTTTCAAAATCTAAACCGCTCTCATTAAAGAAATTCCGAAAAGTGTTTATAGCGTCCATTTTCAAAGTAATTATTGCTATCTTGTGAGTTTAATTCAAGGTTTATTTACTCCAACCGGTGATAATTGTGAAAAAGTGGCATTAAAAACTTAAAAAGCTGTGCTGTGAACTGTGAACTGCAAAAACCATCGTGGATCGTGGCATAACGTCAGTTTGCAATGTTTCATAGGTATTTCATACATGCCTCCTTATATAAAATAAAGTTTCTTGTATGCAACACACTGTATTTTATTTATAAAATTAAACGAAAATAATAATAAATTTGAATAAACAATATTTGGCGATATAATTCCGGAAAAAGCCGAACCGCTCCGAAATTTTCAAAAGTTCTGGGTCGCGACCGTTGCAAGAATAGCGCCAAATAGTGTTTACATTGTCCTTATGGGCACTTTCCAATCTAAACTTGTTTCATTTATCTATGGTGTAGACAGAACAACAAACTATATTTGTCAATGACAAAAACATAGATTGACAACTTAAGGTATGTTGACAGTTGACTGGTTTTGCTGGTTTTAATTTAAAAATAGATGGTTTCATACAGGGTGGTCCGAACTGTATTCCGGAAACTTCGGCAACATATTCTACACATTAAAATAAGTAAAAAAGTTCGTATAAATATATGTCCTAAAATGCTTAGTTTCGGAGATACAGGGTGTAGAAGTTTCATTTTTATTTCGATTTTTTCCAAATAATTTCTGAAGTAACGACAAGATTTCGATGAAAATTGCTGTCTGGGAGTTTTTTGACATGGGAAATTTGATTTTGATGTCAATATGACTCCTACTAATAGAGGGCGCCACCTACATGTGTGTTAACTGTTTTGAAGCGTAATAACTTTTTGTCCGTACCTGTATAAAACTACCGAGGAAAAAAATATACATCTCGATGACTTTTCACGCAAAAAATATCTCTTTGTAAAAATCGCTACGAGCAACCGTTCTCAAGATATTTAGAATGGAAATAGTCAATACATGTCATTATTGACGAAAAATAAACACGTTGATTAGATAGTTAATTCATTGAAATAATAAATGTGTGAAATTTTATTTTTTTTAATTAATGATAAATTTTTCTGCAAAAAAATGATGACAAAACAGTTTCCATTGAACTTTTGGCACAAAAACGTTTCAAATTTATAATTTTAGTCTGATAACTATTTAGTTAACATGTTTAATTTATGTCAATGATGACAGGTATTGATAATTTCGATTCCAAATATCTCGAAAACCATTACTCGTAGCGATTTTTACCAAGAGATCTTTTTCACGTAAAAAACATCGTAAATGTATATTTTTTTACTCAGTAGTTTTATACAGGTACGGACGAAAAGTTATTACTCTTCAAACCAGTTAACAAATATGTAGGTGGCGCCCTCTACAACTAGGAGTCATATTGACATCAAAATCAAATTTCTCATGCCAAACAAGTCCCAGACGCCAATTTTCATCAAGATATTGATGTTACTTCAGAAATTATTTGGAAAAAATTAAAATAAAAATGCAACTTCTACACCCTGTATCTCCGAAACTAAGCATTTTAGGACATACATTTATACGAACTTTTTTACTTATTTTTATCTGCAGAATATGCTGCCGAAGTTTCCGGAATTCATTTCGGACCACCCTGTATATAGTTTTTCTTAAATTACTTAAACTTGGCTTTTCCAAAATTTTTTAAATTTGGCATGTTTATTCAACATATGCAGACCTTTATAAAAACTATTTACGACTTATCTGTAAAATAAATAGGGTAGCCCATATATGGCTGGTTATGAAAATTTGCATGGGATTTCCTATGTTTCCAATGACAATGTACCACCTTGTATAAAAGCACTGCTGCATTTTGCGTCTATAAATGGTACTAGGCATTATGATGCCTAGTACCATTTAATGAGTATCATTCATTTTTACCAATTTGTGATATAGCTAAATATTAAAAAAATTATTGAGAGCAAGTGTGAAGGTAATTCTCACAATTGTACTTGTTGAAATTTAAATGAAAATCATTACTACAAACTGATGCATTACTAACTAAATTGTTTTGACACAATTTGCTTTTACTAGTCACTGTTGTAAACTGAGTTTAGGAAGAATAATAACTAATTTAATATATAATTTTTTTCCACCGGTACAATATCTTTCAAAACAAACTTAATTTAGATCAAATGCGCCATTGGTTATTCAAAAATCCATACGGCTATGCCATAACGTTTAACTGTTTAACGCTGACTCAACATCATCTCAAAATCAAGTTTTCCTTTGCAAGGTGATTCTTCATCATTCCCTCGTTCTCCCTCTTTTCCTAACCACCTGGCAACGTCGCGCTCGGTTGAGAGCTTTTCACTTCACTTCAGTCTGCGAAGCGAGCCTTTACCGAGCGTTACTGCTGTGTACCGGTCTCTCCCCGTCAATTCGTGCAGTGTATGTCTCGTACTGACTTTATCCTGTCTTTTTTTCAGAAACTGAAGACAGTGAAGCCAATCAGAATCGAGAGGATTTGCAACATGCGCTAGGACCGGACGTCACTTTGGAAAAAGGAAAGAATAATTGCTTTTTGCTTTACCGCAACCTGCTTGTGCGATAACCAGTCCAACGAAATCTTCTCAAACAAAAAGCACAAACAACAAATAATCTCGAAACACATTAGTTACTCGAAATGGACAATAATTCTACCTAATCCAGAAATATAAAAAGGATTTTTTCCGTGTGTGCTGTGTGTCGAAACGTCGCGTTTGCGTCTTCAGTGATATTATTAGAAGAAAAGTAGGATATTTTTGACGAAAGAAGATCGAAATAAAATGGCAATGGTAAATCTGTTGAACGGAAAGGATTCGCGCTGGCTCCAGTTGGAGGTGTGCCGGGAGTTCCAGAGGCAGAAGTGTTCCAGGCCGGACACAGAGTGCAAGTTTGCGCACCCGCCGGCCAATGTGGAGGTGCAGAATGGCAGAGTAACAGCCTGCTACGACAGCATTAAGGTGAGTCCAATTTCTATTCCCCATTAATCAGGAACATTTTCAATTCTAAAGCCTATTTGACACGGTTAAAGTGTACTTGGATGAATTGGCGCTGTTTACATCATACCAAATGATTTAAAATCGGTTGCTCCTTTATAGCGCTATACCGGGTGATGCAGCGTCGTTGGAAGCATAGGAAATCCCATGCAAATTTGGAACTATTGAAATATTGGCTCCCCTATTGATTTTACAGAGAAGTCGTAAATAGATTTTTTAAAGGTTTGTGTATGGTAAATAGATATGCCAAATTTGAACAATTTTTAAATTAAAACCGAACAAGTAACAATCAAACACCAGTCAAAAACTGACATACAAACTCTGGTTGGTTTAAAAACTCTGATTTTGTCAATATCAATAGTAATTTTTTTTAATATTGAGGGGAAATTAACCTTAAAAAAATCTATTTACGGCTTTGCTATAAAGTCAGTAGGAGAGCCAATATCTGGACAGTTCAAAACTGTTTTTTGCATGGGATTTCTTATGTTTCCAACGACGATCGATGCACCACCCGGTAGGGTCAATGCATTGGTTCTCGGCCTTTTAACGGAAACTTTGACTTTGAGAGCAGATTAGATATGGAAGGAGATTTTAAATCATAATTTGCCCAATACAAAAAATGTTCGGTAGAGTGTTTTAATAATTATGGATTTTTTTTTAATTTTATTTTCAAAACTTTAGTAAAAAACAATAATAACCGAAAAAGTGCTATTTTACTGGTTCTTGGCCACCACTCATAGTTCTCGGCCAATTTTGTATTGGTTCTCGGCCATGTAGGTATACCTAGAATATAGGTAGGATACCTTACTATGATTCTGCGTACCTAATTAAGAATCAATTAATTTATGAAGGTATCAATAAAAAACTTATATGTATGTATAGCAGGAATATTAGTAATACAATAATAGCAATAGGCTCCTTAAAACCTAAATAAACTATAACAAATAAGTAACTATAAACATTAGGTACCGGTTAAATACCTATAACCATAGGTATCTGATTTTCTGAAGCTATTCTTTACAGAATTTTTAAATCTGTCAGATTTTGATAAAATTTCGTCAAACACGCTCAAAAATTAATTTTTGTCGCCCAGCAATTTAGATTTTCGGGTTTGTTCTGCCACTTACAAACTGTTTTTTTCCATTCCGATTTCATCGGTTTGAAGACGCTAACGTCAGCAGGCTGAAGCATGTGGGTGATGTTAGGTGGAAAAGCATATAAAATTATTTCATTATTGTGGCACCACTCACTAATTGTCATAGTGAGATGGGATTTATGCCCATCCACAAACAGGATAAAAGGCCTCCGAATATTTTCTGTAATCAGCCATTTGTTAAAATCATTATTGATAAATTCAAAAAATACGTCAGATGTCATCCATCCTCTTTCTGACATTCCTAACACCCAACCGCTCGGCAGATTGGCAAAAACAGCCCTGGGAAGTTGCACATAAGGGAATAACAGAAGTGGAGGACCAAATTTTCCTTCGGCGTTGAACATAAATCGGGCTTCCTCAGAAGATCGGGTACTCTTCCTTTGATTCTATTCTGGATCGTCGCCCTTGGTACATTAAATCTTCGACTGGCCTCCCTTATTTTCACTTTCTTTTCCCGGATCTCACGCAGAGCAATCTTGAGATCTTCCTCTGTGTATTGGTACATCCTCCTTTTCATCCTTGATACTTTAAGTCGTATCAAGACGGTTTTATTACCCTGGGTTTTATTTCTCCTAGTTTCCCTAGCCATTGAGAAAAATCAAAAGGATTAGAGTTGGTTAGCGGCTGAGAACCGAAATCTACAGTGATCTTGGTTCTCGGCCACACTATTTTTCATGGTGGCCGAGAAACGCTAGTTCTCGGTCACTATTTTTAAACATAATTTTTGATTAAATTATATTTTATATTCGAATTAATTTAGCGGCCGCAATCTAATAATTAAAAAGCAATAATATAAGTAAATAAAAAAATAACAAACACAAGACAAAATATGTTTTTTTATAGTTTTTTTTAAGATTGAAAAATAACTTTTTATACTGACTCTCGGCCATGTTGGCCGAGAACTAAAAGAGCGTGTTTTTTAATTACTGGTTTGCGGCCACTGAAAATTTTAACTAAAAACCCAACTTTTGCTTAGTTTTGACATATATTTACATGTTTTTACCCTTCCCCCATCATATATAATACATTACAAGTACCTAGAGTAAAAAAATAATAAAATACTTACTATTTTGTAGCTTCACACTAGTAAGCAAATTTACATTTGAAACACTACCTATGTTGTTCTGTTGTGTGTCCAAGAACTGTGGATTTTTCGCACGCTTATTAGTTGCAGCTCCATCTTAACCCCTACTACTTGCGATAGATAAATGATACATGAATCTATTTTACCATTTGGACTGGATAAACGGCGATTAAATTAACTAATATTTAGCTTTAAATCCTAAAAAGGCCGAGGACCAGTGCTGGCCGGATAGCCAGTGCACTGACCCTATATTAATTACGGTTAGGATTAGAACCTTTGATGTTATAACAGCAAAATAAAACATTAATTCACCACAAGACACCAAACCATGTTAACGTGGTTAGTGTGGTTAGCGAAACGTTCGTCCAATGTTAAAAATAATGTTTTTTAATGTATTGTGGTGAATTAGTGTATAACCAGGTGTATAAATAAATTTAACTGTCCGACTTACATTAAAAATGCTTGAATAAATTTACCAGGTCATAGAATGAATTGCTACTTCATCATCCGTGTCATTAGTTTGAATTGCTTTGTTCACAACTCATCAACTCGATCAAACAGAACTTCATAAACTGCATAAATCAGTATAAGAGGCAGTCTTCAGCTGTAAAGAGAAATTACAACATTTAAAATGAGTTGTATAAGTTAAAAAAAAGAAAAAGTCACATAGAAGTGAAATTTTATAAAAAAAAAACATAGTACCTACTTAGTGATTATCTGGATGTTGAAATTATATACTTTGTTCAAACATTAATACAGTTTATTTTTTACTGATTTCTCCAACAATGCACCTCCATTCATTAACACGATATAATGTGTAACACAGTGTTGCCACAAATTTTCGAGCGAATTTCTTTCTCAACTTTGCAAAAAATTCCAGGCCTTGTGAAAAATCTCGAAACTTCGTGTATTTTACCCTCGATTTTACCTATTTTATAAAAACAAAAAAAAATTAAAAGCTTATTTCTGGTAATTTTTCACAGGACACAGATGTGTTTAAATAAATCCTTTATTAAAAAAAATAACACCCATCAAAAATGCTGTGGTTGATACTCGACAGCATTATAAAGTATGTTTCAAAAAATTCATTGCTTACAATGGCTGCTCGAACCGAGAATAACTAATCGTGCAAGTCGCCAGGATCAGCTGACTTATTAGATATTTTTTCCGTTCACTTATTTATTTCTTTTCAACTTTTCAACATAAAGAACTTTGGTTTAGTTATGGTATGTGTATAATAAGACGTGTGTTAAAAGATAAAAATGAATCTATTATATTTTTGTCAATGTCTAAATCTTTCGAATTGCGAACTTTTTGACAGCAGCATTGCTTTAACCTTTAAGTACTAACACCCCGTCTCACAGACACAAAGGACTAGCTGGACATATGACATCTCCTCTCCTCTCCACTTCTAATTATCATCCAACTATGTAATTTCAATACGCATCAAAACAAGTTAAAGGCCGGCAGGGCAATTTGCGAAAGTGTGTAGTTTTCGAAATATTTTAGTTCAAACTGTCGATGCCGTCTGACAGACGGAGTGTTAGCGTTAGCGTAAGTTTTTTTTAAATTTGTGGAATGAATCAAGAACCTAGTAGCTCAAAACATGTAAAGTATGGCAAGAAAGATTACAAGGATACTCTTCTAAAGTGGTTTGAAGGACTGGCAGCGATAATAGCAAAATAGTGACAAAGAATCCGAATGTAGCGAAAATTTTGCCATAGAGAGCGATCATAATTCTGAATTCAAATTAGAAGGTAAAAAAAACGGTTTTTAACTAATATCTAATGGTATGTAGCTGTGTATGTTTTGATATAGGTGATGAAAATATGGATGTGAACGATCAGTAAACTAATATCGAAGAAAGTGAACAGAACAATTTGTTTGGAATGCGCAAAAAAGTGTGTAGGGAACAAGCCCATCTTTAGGCATTGTCATTTTTTTATTCTTTATATTTTCTTTTGCTTTTTTGTGCTTAATAGATAGGTTTTTATATGCTAAATATAATAATCAATATATTTTTTCATTTTCCTTTCGCTTTTTTTTCTATCTCGATGAGAAACAAAGATATGTCAAAAATTCAAAATTAGTACTTATATTTCAAAAATATAAAACATGTTCGCATAATATAAGCATTAGATATTTTTTTTCTGTAGTTTTAATGCTAATGATTCACTCCACTTACAAAAAATCTGTTAGACACGAACAAAATATGATTTTTTTTTAATGCGTCTCTCAGACGGTCTGTTAGTATAGGCGCGACTATTTCAATATGTTAGTACTTAAGGGTTAAGCTTGATTTTCATGCATCCGTTATACGTTGATACGATGGTCCGACGGTGCTCTGATTGGTCATAGCGTTTTCGCGCCACTTTCCGTAAATATTTTACTTCAGCCCGTCAACGGACCCGTTCGTACGATAACGGACGTTTTGACACTTTTTTGATAAATTTAATTTAACTTTAATAAATATAAGTAAAATAGCAAAATCGTCATGGAAACGAAAATATAAAATAACACCAACGTTTATCCGATGAACGGACTCATGAAAATGCAATAAATTTAAAAACTGCGTTATTTTCTAACCAATCAAAGTTTTTAAATTCAATCAATAAAATTAATATCGTATCAACGTATCGTCGGACAACGGATGCATGAAAATCAACCTTGAAACTGCGGCATCATTAATTAAACACCGTTAAAGTGAAAAAAATATATTTAGGA